TCTTCTTTTAAAAAACCCAAAAAGGTAGAGCTTAGATATATTGCATGAAACATCTTCTAGTGAGTGTCTATCAAGTTCGTTCAAATAAAAGCCCTGGGGTCAAAATTGGCCCCGCCCTCGGGGGTCATTGATTTTCCCTATATGCATATAGTAAAAACTTATAAAATCTTCTTTTAAAAAACCCAAAGAGCTAGAGCTAAGATATTTAGCATGAAACATCTTCTAATGAGTGTCTATCAAGTTTGTTCAAATAAAAGCCCTGGGGTAAAAATTGGCCCCGCCCCAGGGGGTCATTGATTTTCCCTATATGCATATAATAAAAACTTATAAAATCTTCTTTTAAAGAACCCAAAGAGCTAGAGCTAAGATATTTAGCATGAAACATGTTCTAATGGGTGTCTACCAAATTTGTTCAAATAAGAGCCCTGGGGTCAAAATTTGCCCTGCCCCGGGGGTCATTGATTTTCCTTATATGTGTAAAGCAAAAACTTAAAAAAAAATTTTCTTTGAAAAAAAACCAAACAGCTAGAGTTTTGTTACTAAGCATGAAACATCTTCTAGTGAGTGTCTACAAAGTTTGTTCATATAAAAGCCCTTGGGTCAAAATTGGCCTTGCCCCGGGGGTCATTGATTTTATTTATGTGTATAGCAAAAACTTAAAAAAACTTCTTTGAAAAAACCCAAATAGCTAGAGTTAAGATATTAAGCATGAAACATCTTCCAATTAGTGTCTTCAAAGTTTGTTCAAATAAAAGCCCTAGGGTCAAAATTGGCCCTGCCCCGGGGGACATTGATTTTCCTTATATGTGTATAGCAAAAACTTAAAAATCTGATTTAATAAAAACCAAATAGCTAGAGTTTAGATATTAAGCATGAAACATCTTCTAGTGAGTGTCAAATGGGGTCAAAACTGGCCCCGCCCTAGGGGTGTCATTGCTTTTAACTATATGTGTATAGTTAAATCTTAAAAAATCTTTTTTTAAAAAACTCAACGAGCCAAACCTTAGATGTTTAGCATGAAATATCTTCTAATGGGTGTCTACCACGTTTGTTCAAACAAAAGCCCTGGGGTTTAAACTGGCCCCGCTCTGGGGGCCTATATACAGGTGAGCAACTTCAGGGCCATTATGGCCCTCTTGTTGTGTTTACTATGAAATAAAATGGATTCTGAAGGATTTGAATAGAAATATGGATTTATTAAAGAGTTCACCACTGATGAGCAGATTTTTTTCAATATCAAAAAGCCTGGGGGGGCTTTTATTCGGGGAGGGGCATTTATTAGAAATTTTACGGTAATTGTCATGTTTTTTGTAATATTTTGAAATTTGTGAATAGTTTTGCACGTTTAACCTTTAACTTTTAGCATGATTTCCCTGTAAACAATTTTTTGAGTTGCAATTGCTCAACTTTAATTATACCCCCGCACAACAAAGTTGTAAGGGGGGTATACTGGAATCAGCTTGTCCGGCCGTCTGGCGTCCGTCGGTTTTTTTCTTGTCCGCCCAATAACTTAAGAATCCTTTCACCCACAGTCATCATATTTGGCATGGAGGAAAGTCATGATAAGTAGATGGCCCCTCTTGATTTTGAGGTCACCAGGTCAAATGTCAAGGTCACATGGGCCTTGACTTCGAAAAGCTTGTCCGCCCAATAACTTAAGAATCCGTAGTCCCACAGTCTTCATATTTGGCATGGAGGTTAGTCACAATTAGTAGATGACCCATATTGATTTTGAGGTCACCAGGTCAAAGGTCACAGGGGCCTTGACTTCAAAAAGCTTGTCCACCCAATAACTTGAGAATCCTTTGACCCACAGTCTTCATATTTGGCATGGAGGTTAGTCACGATTAGTAGATGACCCCTCTAGATTTTGATGTCACCAGGTCAAAGGGGCCTTGACTTTAAAAAGCTTGTCCACCCAATAACTTGAGAATCCTTTGACCCACAGTCTACATATTTGGCATGAAGGTTTATCATGACCATTAGGTGACCCCTGTTGATTTTGAAGTCACTGGGTCAAAGGTCAAGGTCACAGGGGCCTTGACTAAAAAAGCTTGTCCAGTCAATTGCGTAAGAAGGCTTTGGTCAACAGTCTTCATATTTGGTATTGAGGTTGTTTGTGACTAGTACATGACCCATTTTGATTTTTAGATGACTGTGTCAAAGGTCAAGGTCATAGGGATTTTACTATAATAAGCTTGTCTGCTCAAATGCTTAAGAATGCCTGTCCGCAGTGACATTTTCACATTTGAAGCATGTAGAATACATAACTTAGCAATGCACTGGCTTAGTAACCTCAGATTTTGCAGGGAGGTTGTCTTTGAGCTCTCAATGGTCACTGTTGATTCTGACAAAGTGGTATGCGGGGGTATTCAAGCCATGACAGTGGCAGTTCTAGTTTATATTGGTTTTAATATAAAATATATCATAATTAAAACACAGTATTCTCTGAATAACTTTTTATTATACATCCATTTCATATTATAGTTTACCTCTGGCGGGAGGGCGGTGTCCACTTATTTGTCCAGAGCATATCTTCTACACACATGGAGGAATTTTAATGAAACTTCATAGAATGTTCCCCACTATAAGAAGCTGTGTCATGCACATGAACCAGGTCTCTAGGTCAAAGGTCAAGGTCACACTTAGAGGTCATTGAAAAAACGCTTGTCTGGAGCAAAACCTGTACATGCATAGAGGGATTTCAATATTACTTGACACAAATGTTTACCACTGTGAGGCAGAGTGTCGAATGCAAAATTTAGGTCCCTGCAGCTAAGGTGAAGGTCACACATAGCAGTCAAAGTTCAGATGAAAATATGAAAATGTGTCTTGGACCATTTAGTCATTGTTTATTGAGGGATTGAAACACAAATGGTCATTATCATAAACAACTGGTGTAAAACATGTAATTTAGGTTAATATAGGTCAAGGTCACTAAAGACGATAAATTTTAGAAATTTTGTGCAGAGCATATCTTCTCCACGCATAGTGAGATTCTAATGAAATATCATGGAAATGTTCCCACTATGAGAAGCAATGTCCCTAGGTTAAAGGCTAAGGTCACACATAGAGGTCATTGAAAATTGCTTGTTCGGAGCCAAACTTCAACATTCATTGGGGGATTTTAATGTAACTTGGCACAAATGTTCACCATTGTGAGGCTTATTGCGCACATAATCCAGGTCCCTGCTACCAAAGTCAAGATCACATAGAGAGTACAGGGACCATTTAGTCATCATTTATTGATGGATTGTAGCACAAATGATAACTATCATGTTTAAGTGTGACACATGTAATTTAGCTTAATATTAGCAGGGTCAAGGTCACTAGAGATGATAAAATATCCAGATATTTTCCGCATATTGCCCAGAGCATATCTCCTGTATGCATATCTATAATGCCCACATCTCTGTCAAAAGCTTTTTTGATCGCATATTTTGCGACAATGTTGCCCTTGTAACAGCTCAAATGGGTAATAAGGTTATAATGTTGTACACTACATCTACTGTGTTTTTATGTGGTAATGTATGATCCTTAATGATTATGAATAAATCCAGATAGATAATGAATATGTCAGGATAGACTATGAATAAGTCAGGATAGATTATGAATAAGTCAAGATAAATTATGAATAAATCTAGATAGACTATGAATAAGTCAAGGTATATTATGAATAAATCAAGATAAGCTATGAATAAGTTGAGACAGGCTTTAAATAAGTCAATAAGACCATGAATAAGTCAAGAAATACTATGAATAAATCAACATAGACTATGAATAAGTCAAGATAGATTATGAATAAATCAAAATAGACTATGAAGAAGTCAAGATATACTATGACTAAATCAACATAGACTATGAATAAATCAAGATAAACTATGAATAAGTGAAGATAGACTATGAATAAGTCAAGATAGATTAGGAATAAATCTAGATAAACTATGAATAAGTAAAGATAGACCATGAATAAAAAAAGACTATGAATAAGTCAAGGTCAATTATAAATAAATCAATATGGACTATGTAGACTATGAATAAGTCAAGATTCGATAAAATTTCTGCAATTAGATATCTACAAGCTTGACAAAAGAACTAAACTTATTCATCTTGATGAATAGAACATTTCTCTAGACGGAAGTCCTGTGGCATGTTATCCTTATCTTTGGTAGTATGATTGTATGTGAAACTTCTGACATATTCCACACAAGTACTCAAAAGATTCCTCACAAAATCCTTCAGCAAGAACATATTGCTTATCATGTTTATCACAATGTTCACAAAACATTTCCTGAACTTCATCAGAGTCCTGTGTAAATGAAGCCCTGAAGTCTATCCAGGATTGTGCCATGATTTTTCATTTCAAACTTAAATTTCCAATGCAGAACTTTCTATCCCTAAATTGTGTTTAATATAGTTCAAAAAGGGGCAGTGTAATCTTATCCATTAAAATTTATTGCTTTTTAAGATGTGGTATTTAAATATGATTTATAAAAGCAGTTGGTAAGATACACTAGGTCATAATGTTGCCAGGTTATTCCTACATGAATAGCAGTTTTACATGAAGACAAATTGAACGTCATTATTGAAAGGTGAACATTTTTTTTTGCTCACATGATCACAACATGCTCAAGGTATGCTGTTGTTATCACCCTTTATCTAGTATCTTAAGTGCCCGTTCTCTCATATTTACTTAAACAACATCTTTCAGATCACTTAGCTATTAGTGATGAAACTATACAGTATTGTCCTTGGATGGACCTCTATGGATATTGCTCAAATAGTTTTTTCATGTTCTTGTTTGACAGTATTTTCCATTCATTTTTAAGTTGATACAGTCTTGAAAAGATCATTATTTTACAAACTAAGGAAAAGGATAAAAACAAACACATCAATACAGTGGAAATTTTTTCAATATATCTGTTTTGAAAATTTATGGTACTTCATAATGGTTTATATATAAATGAGTTTTGTCTCATGACATCTAAAAATAGTAAATTTTGTCATTTAAACATTAATAACTATGTTAAATGTTTAACCAATCATTATAAAAGATTTCTTAGATTCTAGACGTCACATTTTGTTTGTATTTTGTTGTACTCAACAATAATTACGAAACATATCCTATTATGGAATGACTATTGTCCATTTCATGATAGACATTCTGTGAGGGCAGAAAAATACAAATAAAATACAAACAAAATGTTAAGAAACACATGTATTATATTGAAATTAAAATTTCTTCAGTTGTTGGCTTTAAATACGAGCCTGGTTACCAGTTATTGAATTTTCTAGTTATTGGCTAACAATCAAACCTATATAAACAGATAAATATGACACCACTACAAGAAAGACACTAGTATAATATATACATCTTTTATTTTAATTCATCATAATAATCCTTTTGCAATTGGAAGAAATATAGAATGAAATTCTATATATAATATATTTTAAGTATTTCCTGCAGGCTATTCAGATAGAAATAGTTTTATTCCAGTGATAAATCATACACTTTAATGTTATCATAGTGTTGACTCACATACAATCTGTTTGTATTCTGGCAGTATGCCACACCTACTGGACATTTTATTCCTTGTTCCTTATCCAGTAGAATTTTCACCCTGGTCAGATCAGGTGATAATTGATGCATACTGTCTGTCTGAAATCCACATACAAACACTGCCCCAGACCTATCAACAGTCAGTTGACATGGTTTATTAAGCTGATCATCCTTATAAATGGCATTGACTTTCCCATCAAAGGTTAAACCTATCACACAGTCCTTCTCAAAGTCAGTTACATATATAACTGTGTTGTCTGCACTGATTGTTAAGTATTTAGGATCACGAAACAGACAATTCCCATGCTGATTTTTATCAAATGTTTTCAATACTTGACCAGACATGTTAAGTATCTTCACTGTTGCTGGAAACTTTATGTAAGACACTATAAGCTTGTTGTTACTATAGGCAACACCACAACAACATTCTCCTACTTTAATATCTTCATTGTTGGTCACTGTCATACACTTAGAAAATGTTATCAGTCTTACTGTTCCAAGATCACGAAATGTGATAGCCACTTTGCTATTGTTAACTTTAGCAACAGCCCAAGGGTTGGAAGGCAGGTCTATTGATTCATATGATGAAGTACTGACCCACATATCCTTGAATATATTTAGTTTTGAATATTTATTGTTACATATAAGAAGACAGTCTTTTTTTAACAAGCATAAAGATGACATTGTGATACATGTGAATTTTATATCTGTGTAATAACTTGCAGTTCTTTGTACTTCAGATTCATGTATTTCTTGATAGGTGAAAAATTTGTCACAGTCTTGTAAATTGGTTATATTTTGTTCAGAAGCTTTGCATTCTACTTTGTAATAATGAATTGAATTGTTTTTACATTGTTTTTCTGCATCTGGTTTCAATTGTTCAATGATTTCCTGCCCTTTCTTCATAACAACAAACATTTGACATCTTTGATCTGTACCTTGATGATGCACCAACTCTGTTGATATGCTGTTTAGTTTTGTTTTCATTTTTGTGGTTTCTTCAGTGATTGTCTGCAAAATTTTGTTGTCATTCATTTTTATGATTTCAATTTTCTTCTTTATTTCATTTTCCTCTTCATTTAATAACTTTTCTAATTTCCTTTGATTTTCTTGTAATTTGTCGATTTTCACTTTTTTCTCTTCTTCAAGTTTTTGTAAGGTTTCTTTAATTTTTTTCTCAAAGTTTTGAACTATATCTCTCTGATGTTTTTCAAACACTGACAATATTTCTTTCTTTTTTTCCATAACTGTATCTAATATCTTTGTTTCTTGTGAAGTGACATATTTTATGTTTATGTTCACATGTTTTTCTGTATTTTCCAAATCCTTCATTAACGTATTAAGATTTTCAGTGAGTTCTTTGATTTCTTGGCTGTTTTCAATCCCTGGAACAAGGGCTGGCAAATGACTGACCATACTACAGTTCCCATGGTCTTGTGTCTTGCATTCAGTACAGGCAAATTTCTTACAAGCTTGGCAGTAGAACTTGACTAATTCATCTTGATGAACAGAACATTTCTCTAGACAGAAATCCTGTGGCATGTTATCCTTATCCTTGATGGTATGGGAGGCCATATATCTTTTATGAAATTTTACACATATAGCACACAAGTACTCAAAACATTCCTCACAAAATCCTTCAGCAGGAACATATTGCTTGTCATGTTTATCACAATGTTCACAAAACATTTCCTGAACTTCATCAGAGTCCTGTGTAGATGAAGCACTGAAGTCTATCCTGGATTGAGCCATGATTTTTTTAATTTAAAATATGCAGTGCTGTCTATCTAGTCGCTTTTAAAATGGTTTAAATGAGGAAGTATAAGTCTATCCATTGAGAGGTTTAAAGTACGTGTAGAGTTTACACAGGTATCGATCTATACACCTTTTCATGATATTGACAATAGATTTATAAATAGCAGTTGATACCATAAACTACTTTAAGTCCAACACGATAAAGTTTACATTAATCGGTTGTACCATTATGATATAATAGGTTGTGCAAGTTATTCAGTTATTACATTTTGCATTTTTATTTCAATATAGAAGAATAAAAGTGAAACTGGATACGTAAATCCGAGTAGCGTAGTGGTTAGAGAGTTCAGATTTTGCAAACTCCGCGCACCGGTTACGCTACGGCCAGTAACCACTGCCTTCACACAAATCAAGTGATGATAGTCTTATCACATGATCGTATAAAAATGGCGTATACGCCAATGAAATCGTTCAAAAAAGGTTTTATCTGTAATAAACAGATAATGAAAAAAGTATTTAATTCGAGCTATACTACTAAGGCATGAGATTATTACCGCATGTCCAAGTAGTAAACATCTGATTAAACTTTACAACATGTTTTAATTTGTTTTGACTCATTTTTAATGCAAAATGAATATATATAAAAATGTAATCGTCATGTTTTTGTAATATTTTGAAATTTGTGAATATTTTCCCATGTTTAGCCTGATTTCCCTATAAACAATCTTATAATTTTCAATCCCTAAACTTTAATTTACATTGGTTTTGATATAAAAGTTATCGCAATAAAAACACAGTATTGTCTGAATAACGTTTTATTACATCTCAAATGGGTAATTTGGTTATAATGTTGCACACTACATCTACTGTGTTTTTATGTAGTTTTGTATAATCATTAATGATTATAAATAAGTCAATATAAATTATGAATAAGTCAAAATAAACTATGAATAAATCAAAATAAACTATTATGAATAAATCAAGCATGATAGACCTTTAATTAATCAAGATAAACTAGGAATAAATCAAGATAGACTACGAATAAATCAAGATAGATTATGAATAAGTCAAGATAGATTATGAATAAGTTAAGATAGATTATGAATAAATTAAGGTTGACAATGAATACGCCAATATAAACCATGAACAAGTCAAGATAGACTATAAATAAGTCAAGATTGATTCTTCATAGCAACAAAGAGTTGACATCTTCGATCTGTATTTTGAAAATAAGTCAGCTCTATTGATATGGTGTTTAGTTTTCTCTATTTTTTAGCTCACCTGTCACAAAGTGACAGGGTGAGCTTTTGTGATCGCTTTTTGTCCGGCGTCCGTCCGGCGTCCGTCCGTAAACTTTTACTTTAAATGACATCTCCTCAGAAACCGCTGAGCCAATTTCATCCAAACTTCACAGGAATGTTCCTTTGGTGGTCACCTTTAAAAATTGTTCAAAGAATTTAATTCCATGCAGAACTCTGGTTGCCATGGCAACCGATAGAAAAAACTTAAAATATCTTCTTTAAAAAAACCCAAAGAGGTAGAGCTTAGATATTTGGCATGAAACATCTTCTAGTGGGTGTCTACCAAGTTTGTTCAAATAAAAGTCCTAGGGTCAAAATTGGCCCCGCCCCGGGGGTCATTGTTTTTCCCTATATGCATATAGTAAAAACTTTAAAAATCTTCTTTAAAAGAACCCAAAGAGCTAGAGCTAAGATATTTAGCATGAAACATCTTCTAATGGGTGTCTACCAAGTTTGTTCAAATAAAAGTCCTAGGGTCAAAATTGGCCCGGCCCCAGGGGGTCATTGATTTTCCCTATATGCATATAGTAAAAACTTATAAAATCTTCTTTTAAAGAACCCAAAGAGCTAGAGCTAAGACATTTAGCATGAAACATGTTCTAATGGGTGTTTACCAAATTTGTTCAAATAAGAGCCCTGGGGTCAAAATTTGCCCTGCCCCGGGGGTCATTGATTTTATTTATGTGTATAGCAAAAACTTAAAAAATCTTCTTTGAAAAACCCAAAAAGCTAGAGTTAAGATATTAAGCATGAAATACTTCCATTTAGTGTCTTCAAAGTTTGTTCAAATAAAAGCCCTAGGGTCAAAATTGGCCCTGCTCGGGGGACATTGATTTTCCTAATATGTGTATAGCAAAAACTTAAAAATCTTCTTTGAAAATAAAACAAATAGCTAGAGTTTAGATATTAAGCATGAAACATCTTCTAGTGGGTGTCTTCAAAGTTTGTTAAAAAAAAGCCCTGGGGGGCAAAACTAGGGGTGTCATTGCTTTGAACTATATGTGTATATTTTAAGCTTAAAAAATCTTTTTTTTTAAAAACTCAACAAGCTAGACCTTAGATGTTTTGCATGAAACATCTTGTAATGGGTGTCTACCAAGTTTGTTCAAATAAAAGCCCTGGGGTTTAAACTGGCCCCACTCTGGGGGCCTATATACAGGTGAGCGACTTCAGGGCCATCATGGCCCTCTTGTTCATAATTGTAGACAAATATTCTGTGGCACATGGGGTTTCACCTGCATTTTAATATTTAGGTTGTAAAGTACTGAATGCATTAAAGGTATTGCTAAATTCTTAAACAAACATATTTTTCAGAATGCATTACAGATTGTTCTATGCTTTATACTTGTTTGAGAATGCCTCATCATCGAGTTGTGCTGATCTTCATTCGATAATGTCCGAGAGCAAGGGAGGTCAACAGTCTTTAGTTAAATACAGGTGACAATTCTTTCAATTAAATGTAGATGAGCTCATACATATTGAATGCAGTTCTGTGCATACCTGAAAACCAGACACTTTTGAGTGTTCAGATTCTAAATTCCTAAATCAGCCCTTTAGTTGAATATTTCATCTATTAGTAAGGAAAAGATTAATTCAACATAAGAATTTGTTTATATTACCTATTACTTGCTCTGTAACATATTTTTTTGTTGTTAAAGGGGAAATAACTCTTGCCATTAAAGCTTGACAGAGTTAATATGAGTTTGCCCTTACTATGCTCAGTTTGTGAAGTGAAGTTGTCCTGTGTTAAACTTAATAGTGTTAATATGAGGGATTTTGATTTCAAAATGATATCATTGAGCAATGGTCCATCTAGAACATACTTTGACTACACTGAGGAGATTTGCCAGAAAGTTGTTTGAAGATGCATATTATTTTACTTGCAGCTCTGGAACAGACAGTGTTAGGCTTACACATGAGCAGTTGCGTATTGTAAAATACCCTGCAGGCAAATACGAAATAATCAAAATTGTAGCATTTGCAGGTTTATATATTTTATTTGATTGATAAATTAATTATTTTTTTATCGATGATTTATTCATTTACCAAATTCAGCAAGGCATGGCCTATTTTGTTTTACTTCAGTCCTAATATTTCATTCAGTATTTTATTTAAAGGTAAAACGGCCATTGTGTTTAGTTTCGTAATTTAATTACGAAAGTTATTGTTAATTGTTTCCAATGCATGTACCTCTTGAATCTGCAAATGATAAATATTCAAAGAAATTAGCATTAGTAATAAACCCTTAAACTGCTGTATTTATTAAATGAACGTGTCCAGTTTCCATTTATGGAGCTGTCCGTTATCAAATTTTTTGTCTATAAGATGCCATTAATGTTGATAAAAATTGCACAAAATTAAATCGTATCGAATCATTTATCTGGAATCTGACATTAGCTTCTTTTGAGGTTACCAATTAATATATGAAATTAATAGAAGTGGAAAAATATTGTATTTCAGGGACAGGGAAAACAACAACTCTAGTGAGGTACACACAACTTCGGCCTGACAAAAAATTTCTTCTTGTAGTCTATAACAAGTAAGTTTGATTTTTCTTATTTCTCTGTAAAATTTAGAAAAATTGTTTTTTTATTTAATAAAATTATTTGAGATCACCCTCATATGGATCACATGAAAGAGTTACTTTGGCAATCAGCCTCATATGGATCACAGGAAAGATTTACTATGGCAATCAGGATCATATGGATCACATGAAAGGTTTTCTATGGGTATCAGCCTTATATGGATCACATGAAAAATTTACTATGGAGATCAGACACATATGGGTCACATGAAAGATTTATAATGGTGATCAGCCTCATATGGATCAAAATTCACATGAAAAGTTTACTATGGAGATCAGCAACATTATGGATCACATGAAAGGTTTACTTTTAATAAGGTAAAGAAGGGTGAAATCCTTAAAAAAAAAATTGAAAAAAAAAAATCTTCTGAAAAAAAAAAACACAAAAAAAAACAACAAAAAAACCACAAAGAACAACAACTTAAATTAGGAAAACTCTATAATTTGTATAAAAATAATATGTCCTACCTCTCGAATTTAACCCTTATGTTCAACAGGAAATCTACATATATTTTTAAAGAGAGGTTAGGTTGGTCTCATGCAATATAACTATATACCTGTTAAGTTTGTTAACTTTCTAGGTACTCCAAAATGTGAAAGACTGCAGCTCTCTCTGTAGATAGCATTAGCTCTAAAATATGCTTCAGAAATTAATGAATTTTGCGAAACATAAAATTTTTATATTAGAAAACAAGAAACAGCCACTGTTAATTTATGAAGTAATGCCGTTCTTTTCACAAATAAATAAAGGAAGTTTACTGTATCATAAATTTATCTGGCAGCTCAGATTGTGTATGCAAACAACCATTTGTATTGGGCCATATAACATGTCAAAAATCTGTATAACATATAACCAATCGTAAGCCTGGAAGAAAAATACCAGCTCATACCTGCTGTGCCTGAAATAAAACATGGAGAAGTACCTGAGATCTTCCTCCACCAGAAAATCTAAAATGTTACCATCTTACCTTTGGTGTATTATTGAGAGTTAAAACCAAGTTAAAAATCTTGTGATATTGCTTTTGTTTTCTTTGTGCCTTTTAGGTCAGTCTGTGAATATGCAAAAACAAAGTTCCCAAGAAATGTTGAATGCAGGACTGGACATTCTTTAGCTTTCCAGAGCTTTGGGAGAAGGTTTGTGCTTTGAAAATTTTCCACTTTTTTATCCCTTTGATCAGACTTTTGATATGATTATTTTCATAACCTCAAGGTTAAGGTTGTAACTTATAACCAATGGCCAAAAATAGAAATGCTGCCCAAGCATAATCTGTTCTAAAAAAGATATTCAAGAAACTTTACTCTTAGATGTTTCACTGGATGAGAAAGTACAATATATGTATTTTGTAAGATCAATAATTCACATATAGTCTAGTAATATCAAAG